ATTGTCCACATCCCTCTTGAAATGGGGCGCACAGAACTGGACACAATACTCCAGCTGTGGCCTGACCAGCATCGCGTAGAGGGGGAGGATCACCTCCTTGGCTCTACTCGAGATGCACCTGTGGATGCACGACAAGGTCCGGTTAGCCCTGCCAACCATGACCTCGCATTGTCGGCCCATGTTCATCTTGGAGTCAATAATGACTGTTCACATACCATCCTAAGGATGGAGGAGACGTGATCAAAGAAAGAGAAGCAATCAATACTGTTGGAAGGAGCATTTTGAAGATCTTGTCAATCAAGAGTCTGTTGCTGATAAGAGCATTCTCAACTCCATCCAACAACACCCAGTCAGAGATGATCCTGGAATCCCTTCAACCCTTGATGAGGTGAGGAAAGCCATCAAGCAGGTGAAGAATAGCAAGCATCTGGAACTCATGGAATCCCCACTGAAATCTTCAAGCAAGGGGGAGAGCAGCTCATACCACAGCTCCATGTCCTCATCTTACGGATTTGGAATGATTAGGAAATCCCAGATGACCTTAGGGATTGTGACAATCTTTTGGAAATTACAGAGGGATCACCTTGCTGTCCACCACAGGAAAGATCATTAAACACATTTTGGCCCCATTCTGCCTAACACAAATTGTTAATTTCCTTAAGATTAGTTAGTTTACAGCAGCAGTTCTGAACCTTTTTCAGTCTACATACCCCTTGGTCTCAGAGTGAGACTTCACGTGCCCCCTAGGAGCAATGTTTCCAGTGCGAGGTTGAGGCATGGAGCAGGAGCAGGAGCAGGAGTAGGATATCTGGTTTCCATACGCATGCACATTTTATGGCAGTAGAACCCCGGCAATTTGTCAAGACTTTTTTTAGGCCCTTTGACCTGTGTTAGACAATGCATGAAATATATCTTGTGTACCCCCTGATGAGGCTTCATGTACCCCTGGGGGTACATGTACCCCGGTTCAGAACTGCTGGCTTAGAGGACTGTTTTCTCCCTGGCAGCTTTTGGGTGATCTGGATAGGAATAGGGCTGATATTAAGACATTTGGTAACAAGGTACTAACCTGCTCCTTCAGATGCAACTCTTGTTATATTTAGCTGTGCTTTTGTCACCTCAAATTTGAATTACTGTAATGGGCTCTACATAAGGCCACCCACTCAGCTAGTTACACCAATGCAGAATGCAACTATTCACTCATTAAACAGTACTTAATGGTGAAAAGACATTAAGCCAGGGTTTCATAGACTACACTGCCTGACACACAGTTCCCTAGTGAAGTTTATAAGGTTGGTTTGAGTTTAACAAAACTGTAGGTAGTTTAGGACCCAGATACCTAAGACAGCCTCTTATGAAGGTGCCACTATTATAATCAGGGAAGACACATGAGCCCTAAACTCAAAGGCTTAGAAGGACAGGAGAGGTGGCAGAACATTTTCTAGTAAGGCTGACTCTTGAATATATTCCTTTACACCTCATCTATTTTCTTGAGCTTTCACGGTGAGTTTAATGAAGGAAAACAGGACAGGAGAAAGTTTATAAATTTTATTTTGTATACTTTTAAATATCTGAGAAAATGGCCAGAGATTCAAAATAGGTTCTCTTCTTCAAGTTTAAGAAAAATCAACTTAAGCTGATTTAGGCTGTGGCTGTGTCGCAAATGTGCCAGGTACTATCTAAACATAAAGGAGCACACAGTGCCTGCTTCAAGGAACATCCTGGTTTTTCTCTATTTTGGATCATGTTATGAACAATGTAAGGCTAAAGATGACATTCAAATACCACAATAAGATTCAACTATATTTGTACAAATATCTTTGATTATATATTTAAGTGTCCAGGAAGATAGATCTCTGGACTTTGCTTCTATGGACACATTTAAAATGCTGATTTTGAAAATGGGTATGAGAAATCATTCTGGTTTGCAAGATCAGGATCTAGCTATTCTATACTCTTGCCTCCCTTCTACCACCTTAACATGAATGGTAAATTGGATTGAACTGGACTCTAGTACTTCCATGTGATAACATGTTAGTTTCACTGCAGTACATATCATCTCTGAATTTGATTGCATCTTTATTTCCAGCAACTTGTTGTTTGTACCCTAGAAGGCTTGTTAGAGAATATTATACTCAAGCTCATTTCATACACTTATTGCATACCAAAATGGTAGTAAGATTCCCCACTACTGAATTGTTCACTGTACTCTTCAAAATATTTGGCCCACAAACTACCCAATGGAAAATACCCTACAAAATAAATACAATGACAAAACAGACGTAAGGTATTACCAGTCCCCCGCCCCACCCCCCACCTTTTTTTTCTTTTTTCTTATTTTAAAAACACTGCTTGCCAGCAGGCATCTTATTTCAGCATGCATCTGAACTACTGATTGCAGCTCATTAATGACCTCCAGTCATTAGAAAGCTAGATTTGTCTTCAAAGAGGCTTAAGAATCAGAAAGGTGCCATGGTGAAGGATACAAAAGCTCTGAAGGAAATAAATGAGAGTGCTACTACCTGATTATTTGAGATAATACCTACAATAATGGAGTACAAGCTTACAATAAGGCTAAGGAAGAAAAGAATACAGGTGGAATTTCTTTATCCAATAATTATGTAAGTAGAATTTAGCAAGTGTCTATGAGGAAGGAAAATGTATAGCAGGCTCAGCTAACAATATTAAGCTTTGTTCACTGCTGTTTGCTATCTTCTAGTTTACTAAATTATCTGACTACCCTTCCCTTAGGCCTCAGAAAATTAGATGTCCCCATGAGCAATCAAATAAGCTATTGACTCAGACTGAGACTACAGTATCCAAAAATATGTAGTCCTAGCCTCAAGATATCCTTTGCTGAGATATTGACAGAAACATGGTGTGAAATTCAAATTCTGTCTGTCTACAGTCATCGGATAAGAGACTTTTGCACTTTGAATCACAGTTCTTCTTCCTTAATAGTTGAATGTGGATTGCATTTACCATCTTGACATTTCCTCCCAGTTCATTTAACTATTAATAGATGTGACAGTATTCAAGAAGAGAGGGAAACCTCATTTTGTATGCGAAGGAATTGTTTCTAGGTAAATCATTTCACTACTGCAGGCCTGCAAATCCCTGCTGAGGCATTGAGGCACATTCATTTACAATCACTGTAGGAAAGGGGTGTCAAAGATATGGCCCCTCAAAGTGCTGGCCATGGGTCTTGGAACTGATCCAAAGGCAGCATGTGGGACACACCAGATGGCCCCACATGCCATGCATGGCACCCACTCAAGCTCATGCTCTGGAGCAGCAGAGCAGCCACCACATGCAGCACAGCTCTGCAGCAGCTCCATGAACCTTGCCACAGACCCTGAGGTCCAGGCCAGACCCCTGGGGAACCCAGCTTGATTCCTCCTCCTACCAATGACTGCTGTTTGGGTGTGATGATCCAACCAGTCATATAGCTACCTTTACAGCACTTCCATCTAGTCCACATTCCTTAGCTTGTTGATAAGAATGTCATAGTGTCAGGTGCTTTGCTAGAAACAAGGTATATCACATCCACTGTTTTCCCCACATGCCACATGTGGAAACCACTCCAGCCACTCCAGAATACTGAATCAGCATGCAGGGCCAATCTGTGGGTCCAATCCAGCCCACAGACCAGCCCCCATGCCTCTCATCCAGTGCATTGGGCCAGATGGGTTTGACACCCCCTGCATTAGAAAAATGACTTACCACAAAAATTGGATCATTGGCTGCTGCATGAGGGAGAGCACTGGTTCCATTCAGGAAAGAGTGAACCAGGTTATGAAGGCTCATCACTGGAGATACAAAAGCTCCATCTGGGCGTTCAAACCCTTCCAGGGCATTCCTGTGTTCAGGATAAAACAATGTGAAGTAACCATCTATTGACCAACTCTACCTACAAACACATAAATAATATTTCCCTGGGCAAAACAAGCTTCAGAAATCAGAGCACAAACCTGAAGCTGAAATTGGAATTCCGGAAAAATGGCGGACTATCAAACTCTTGGAGTGAAAGACAGTTCCGAATATCTTCCATGGTAGGCAGCTGCTCATTCAACCTTCCTAGTGCATTCCTTCTCAGTAGCCCTTCATTAGTCCCATTACACAGAGTAACCAGACGATTGTAGTCATCCAAGCTTAGAATAAAATTAAGGTTGCATAGAACAGTTAGAGAACAGGTTGAGTAAACAGAAGCCATCCACTGTGGCCCCACTTGAAGCCAGGGGGACTGATCCTACCAATGCTGGTGTGTATTAGGCATATGAACAGTCTCAGTTGTCTTAAGAGGTTCCATACAAAGAAAATGTTCAGGCCATTCTTTGGGAACTGGAATCATTGGCCTGTTTTGAAATGAAATAGCTTCAGACCTGCTCCAGGTTCTAGATTTCTGTCTCAAAATGGGGATACAGATGTTACCAAGTATGTCTTTAACAGTGATGTATTAAATTTGGGCTAATTTTATGGTGATAGTTTCTCTGAGGAAATTGTACTCCCACAGATGACACACAGCCTAGATGCCTGGAAAACAGCAATGATTCTGAATCAAGCCTGAGCAGTTCTTCTCATCTCCCTTCTTCCCCAGGCATAGGATCATAGGAAAGTAGGGCTAAAAGAGACTTCACAAGCCCCCTGTTCAAGGCAGGATCATTCCCAACTAAACTATCTCAACCAAGTGTCTGTTCAACCAGTTCTTGAAAAATTCCAAGGACAGAGATTCCACAATTGCTCTAAGTAGCTTCTTCCAAAGCCTGATCAACCTCATAGTCAGAAAGTTCCTCCTAATCTTCAACTTAAATTTCCCCTGCTAAAGCTTGGGCCCATTGCTCCTAGTCCTGTCCCCTATAGCCATAGAGAAAAACCCATCTCCAGTCTCTGTGTTATTTGAAGATTGTTATCAAATCCCCCCTTGGTTTTCTCTTTTCCTGACTAAAATGACCAAAGTTTTTTCAATCTTTCCTCATAAGTCTTGCTTCCCAGGCCCCTCATCATTTTTGTTGCTCTCCCTTGGACTCTCTCCAATCTGTCCACATCCTTCTCAATGCGTGGGGTTCAAAACTGGACACCGTATTCCAAGTGAGGACTCACCAGTGCTGAATAGAGCTAAAGAATTACTTCTCCCGAGTTGTAAAAGACAACTGTTAATACCACCCTGTTGGCCATTTTTGAAACAAGAGCTCACAGTTAGTTTATAGTCAACTTATGGCCTACTGGAACCCCCAGGTCCTTCTCTTTAGTACTGCAGCCTAACCAGTCATTCTCCAGTCTGTATCTGTGCATTCAATTACTCAATACCATGTGCAGGACTTTGCACTTGTCCTTATTGAATCTCATCTGATTGATTGTGAGCCATTTCTCCACTGTATCCAAGTCATTCTGGATGCTAGCCTCCAAAGTGTCTGCAACTCCACCCAACTTGTTGTTATCTGCAAATTTGCTAAGTGTGTACTTGATCCCTTCAATCAAATCATTACAGAAAATATTAACACTGAATCCAGGACTGAGCCCTTAGGAGACCAACTTGATATCTCCTCCTACTGAGGACCAGGGATCCTGCTTTTCTCTGATAAAAAAAATCCCAAATTTGTTTATATAAAACAAACCCAAAATCCACATTTTTCCATACATATATTAGTGGTGTTTCATTATAATCATGGAAAAATGTGGATTTTGAGTTATTTTTTCATAGCCAAAAATTTCGGATTTTTTTTATCACAGAAAACCGGGATCCCTCCTGATGAACACTGGTTGAGCATGATGATCCAATTACTTATACTTATCCATTTACTTATACCTTACAGCACTTTCACCTAGTCTGCATTCCTTAGCTTGTTAATGAGAATGTCACAGTTTCAGAAGCCCTGCTAAAATCAAGGCATATCACATTCACTGCTCTCCCCACATCCACAGAACCTGTCACCTTATGGTAGAAGGAAAACATGTTGGTCAGACATGTCTTGCTCTTAGTGAATCCAGGCTGGAGCTGCCTGATCACCTGTTCTTCTCTAGGTGCTTCACAATAGATTCCTTGAGGACCTGCTCTATGATCCTTCCAGGTATTGAGGTCAGGTTGATTAGCCTGATGCTCCTTCTTTCCTTTCTTAAAGACAGACACTATATTTGCCCTTTTCCAGTCATCTGGGACCTCACCTGACCTCCACCCATTCTCAAACAGGATAGCCAGTGGGTATGAAATTACTTCAGTAAATTTCTTCTATACCCCAGGGTGCATTCCATCCAGCCCTGCTGTCTTGAAAGCATCTAATCCCTATTTCTTTCTTCTATTACTCTAGGATGCTGTCTTCTTCCCAAATTTTACTGCCAACTGCACTTACCATCTGGTAGCTGTCCCTATTTGTGTAGGCTAAAGTAAAATATACATTAAATACTTCAAACTTCTCTGTATAATCTATAACTAGATTGCCTTTTGTATTTCATAAGGAACCTACTGTTTCTCTGGTCTTCCTCTAACTTTTGTCTATTTATTGTGCACAAATTTGTCAGAGGTATATGAACTATGCTTCCCAAGGGATGGAGACAAAAATCCAGAGGCAAGTGAAGAGGCAAGTGAAGAGTCAAGGGATTTGGATAAAAATGTATTAAGGGGGAAGCAACAGCAGAAGGCTTACCAATATTTTCAGGGAAAAGATAAGATAATCAGTTAGATGGCTTATACCAATGTGAAAAGCATAGGTAACAAACAGGAAGCATTGGAGGTCTAATACAAGCACAGAATTATAATATAATTGGGATTACACAGATATGGTGAGCTAGTTCATAGACTGAAGAGCCTCCCTGATGGGTATAGCTTGTTCAGGAAGGATACGCAAGGGAAGAAAAGGAAAAGGTGTTGCTCTATATAGAAAGGTGATGTATATATGTTCTGAGGTGCAGTACAAAGTAGAAGGGAGGCCTACTGAAAGCCTCTGGGTAAAGCTCAGAAGGGACAACAGCATGTTATGGGGGATGTTATGGTGGGTATCTGCTACAGGCCTCCAAACCAGGAGGAGGAGGTAGATGAGGCCTTCTTTAAACCACTAATGGAAGCTTTCAAATCTGGGGACTTGGTTTTCACGTGATACTTTCATTATTGGGGAATCTTTTGTGAAGGAAACACAGCAGTGCATAGGCAATCCAACAAATACTTGGAATGTGTTGGGGATAACTTTTAACTGATATAGATGATATACAGTCCAAGTAGGAGGTAAGCTCTTCTTGACTCACTACTCAAACAGGGAGAAATTGATTGAGAATATGGAGGTGAAAGGTAACTTCACTGACAATGACCATGAAATAATAAAGTTCATGATCCTAAGGGGAGGAAGGAAGGAGGACTTCAGAAAAACTTAAAATTGATTTTAACAAACTCAGGAAATTGGTGGGCAGGATCCCCTGGGAGAAAAGTTTGAGGAGGGAAGGAGTGCAGGAAAGCTGACTGTATTTCAAGGAGGCACTTTTAAGGGTACAGGAGCAAGCTATCTTGATCCAACAAAAGCATGGGAAATGCAATAAGAAACCAGCCTGGCTAGAAAGGAATTTCTTCAGTGAGTTAAAACTCAAAAAGGAATAATATAAAAAGTTAAACTTAGTCACAGCACTAGGGAAAAATATAAGAATATCACACAAGGAGAAAATTAAGGTGCCTAAAGCATGTTTTGAAATGCAACTTTTTATATTATGTTTTGAAATGCAACTGGTAAGGGGCATACAAGGCAATAAAAAGGGATTCTACAAATATGTCAAAAGTAAGAGGAAGACCAGAGAAATAACAGGTCCGTTATGTTCAAAAGCAAGTGAAAGTTTATTTCCATAGATAATTGGAGTAAAAAAGAAAAAGAAAATCCCCCTCCTGTAATATAGGTGAAGACAAAGTTTAGAAACATATCAGTTTTCAAGGTAAAAATCCTCTGTTCCTCATCAGGGCAGCAGCCATACAAAAAGAGTAAGAGTTATAAAATTAATGACTAAAGTTAGAATTTTAAGTAGATATTTAAGCACCTACATAACTGCTTCTGAGTTTTCAAAAGCACTCATTTTCTAGCAGCTCCTATTGAATTTATGACTTCCAAAACTTGATTGATATATGAATATTATAATTTTATGTGTTATTTAAATGTTCAATTACATCCCAAAGCTCCAGTCCTAAAAATGCCACAGTTGAGGACATACCCATACATGGCCATTTGCCAGATCAGTACGTTGCTTTATAAGATATTAATTCAGTTTCATTTTAAAGGGCGGCACCTACATGAGAAACTGACTGAGTAGTAGCTCATTACTACTGTGCAGTAGTATCACATGGCAGGACGCATGATACAATACGAGCTACTGTGCAGTCAGCATCACCTAAAAGCTGTCCAGTGATGCTACTCTGCAGTAACTCCAGTTACTGCTCAATCATTTAGTACTTGTTTATACTAAGTATACAAGTACTAGATGACTGTGCAGTAACAACTGCACAGTCAGCGTCTCATGTAGATGTGGTCAAGAAGTCTGTAAATCTGGGGCAAAGTTTAGATCTCTTGGAAGTAAAGGCCCTAACTCAGGTGTAAAGGCCCTAAGTACAGCTAGCATCTCACCATTGGTATTTTCTAGCATCACTGAAAGATCAAAAATGTTGGGCCCAAATGCTGAAGCAGGCACACGTGTGGTAGCACACATGTGCCCTCAGCTCCCCCCAGCCACACCACGCTGGACCTGTCTCTGCCAAGCAAGGAATTACCACAGAGGTAAGTGGGGCTAGTGAGGGGGAGAGACAAAGTAAGGGGCCAGCTATAGGGGATCCAGAAGAGTTTTTCCACCCTCTGGTCCCCATAGCTGTGCCAGGAGGGAGCCATGCACCCGAGCTGCACAAATAGACCACGCAAACAGGTGCACTCTAAAGGGTGTGCCAGAGTTTGCATGGGAGTTCACACAGGAGGGCACACAGGAGGGGCTTGAACTCTAGGCATTGGCAGCCTCGGACGGAGACTTTGGGTGAGCAGAATTGAAGGTGTCCTTCAATGGAGGTAAGTACATGGCAAGCAGCCAGGCGAGCAGCCAGGAACCCTTCCCCTGTGATGCCCCCCACCTGGGACTGCTTTGAGGCCTCCACCCAGACAGAGCCCTTGGGGTGTTATCAGCACCCTAGCCCCCTATC